AGTTATGGAACTTACAGCTGGGTTGGGATGAACTCGTTGATAAGAGAATAAGTAGAAAATGGAAGCGTTTCTATCTAGAATTGCCCTTACTTTCAAGCTTACAATTTCCGAGGTATGTCTTGAGTCCGAAGGCAGTAGTGTTATAGATATCCATGCTTTCTGCGACGCTTCAGAAAAGGCTTATTGTGCAGTCATCTATCTCCGAACAATCGACCTTGATTCGTCAGTCAAAGTCAGCCTTCTGACATCGAAAACCAGAGTAGCGCCCTTAAAAACCCAGTCTCTTCCGAGACTAGAGTTGTGTGCTGCGTTACTTTTAACCAACCTCTTACATGCAGTATTATCATGCATAGAACTGCCTATTAACAATATTTACGCATGGACCGACTCGCGGGTTACATTGGCATGGGTTTCGTCCGAACCTCGCCGTTGGCTACCTTTTGTGGCAAATCGAGTTGCAAAAATCCAGGAAGCTGTTCCAGGTATTCAATGGAATTATGTTGCTGGGAAAGAAAATCCTGCAGACTGTGGGACCAGAGGTTTTATTCCATCAGAATTCCTACAATGTGAGTTATGGATGAAGGGACCGCAGTGGTTAAACGAATCCCGTAATTCATGTACAGCAAAATTCAAGTGTAGAATTAGAGGGTGAAGGTTATGTTGAAGGAATTGAAAAAGAGTTTCAGTTCAAATTTCCAAATTTGAAGAGCCTAGTGTGTTTTCAAGATTTTCATCATGGTTAAAGTTATGTCGAGTGTTAGCGTGGTGTTTAAGATTTCAGAAATAATTGTAGTAAGTTACCTACAGAGCGTATAAAGGGTTATTTATCTACTGAAGAATTCTGTGAAGTTACTTCTATGATTGTTAGGATTGTGCAAAGAGCCGAATTTCCAGAAGAATTATTCTGTTTAGAATCTGGTAAACCCTTGAAGACATCAAGTAAATTACTGTCTTTAAGTCCTTTCTTGGATTCCGCGGGAGTAATGCGTGTAGGCGGAAGGCGGAAGGCTCAGAAACTCTACAGTTTCAAATAATCAGAAACATCCTATGATTTTACCTAAGAATCACAATATTACGCGTTTAATTATTAAGCATTATCATGACACGTATCTTCACGCAGGTACGCAGCTACTCACTTCTGTCATACGACATAGATTTTGGATTGTGAATGCTAGAGATATTATAAGAAAGTGTATAAACCAATGTGTTATCTGCCGTAGAGTTAGAGCGCAAACTGCAACTCAGCTAATGGCAGATTTACCCGCTTCAAGAGTTACTCAAAGTAGAGCTTTTTCTCGTGTAGGGATTGATTTAGCAGGACCATTTAACGTTAAATATCGTCCTGGTAGAGGAGTCAAAATCTTTAAGTGTTACGTATGTCTATTTATTTGTTTTACTACAAGAGCAATACACTTAGAATTAGTTGGAGATCTTTCAACAAAATCATTCCTCGCGACACTTAAGCGGTTTATAGCTCGTAGAGGCAAACCGTGTGAAATTCACAGTGATTGTGCAACGAATTTTATAGGAGCTAATAAAGAATTAAGGAAAGCCTTTTCTATTGTTCAACGTGATGAACAGCTACAGGGTTATTTCTTCAGAAAATATTAAATGGTTATTTAATCCTCCCTCTTCCCCTCATTTTGGAGGGCTTTGGGAAGCGGGTATCAAGTCTATGAAACATCACTTAAAAAGATGTTTAGGAACACTTATTTTAACATACGAGGAATTTTTGACATTAATAACCCAAATTGAATTCTAGGCCTTTAGTACCAGCTTCAAGTGATTGTAGCGACTTGGAGACGATAACACCAGGACACTTTTTAACCGGAACGGCTTTAAGCGCTATTCCAGAATCTAACCAAATTCAAGAAACCATGAGCTGCAGTGGCCGTTGGAGGAACGTGCAAAGGTTATTTCAACATTTCTGGAATCGTTGGAGCAGTGAGTATTTATCTAGATTGCAGCAGAGACCCAAGTGGTGCAAGGTTACAACAAGATCTGAAGATTGGTGATATGGTTCTTATTAAGAACGAAAATCTACCTCCGCTACGTTGGAAATTAGGTAGAATTATTAAAGTGTATCCTGGTCTGGATGAGAAAGTTCGAGTGGTGAGTTTACGCACGTCTAATGGTGAAATAAAACGACCTATAGCAAAGCTATGCGCTTTGCCATTTAATTCCTGATTTAGAGACTTTAATTTTTATTTTTCAGGTTTATGCAGTTCAACAGTTTAAATTTATTGTTTGAACCCCCTTGGGACTTCAAGGCTGGGGGTATGTTCGATGTTATGCAAATTGTATTTCTTTCTTTGTACCGAGGAGCGGCGCAGACGCAAATTTGTTAGGTTTTTAAAGCTCGCGTTTAGAGCTTTGAGGTTGCTGTGAATTACTGGAGTTTCAACTAAGCAGAGGTTCTTCTGAGTTTGTGTTGGTAAGCCGCCTACTGAAGTCGGAGTTTGTGTGGTCTTCGCCGTTCCTCAACTAACTTACTGTTTGAAAGTCAATAAAGAAGTTTCGGTCAACGTTATGAGTCTGAGGTTTTTTGGGTTCTATACTGAAGTAATATCAAGTCAATTTACAGTCCACTATTTTTAACAACGGAACGTACATATATATTTTTTAGATCATTCGGTGGCTTAAAAATTTTTAACTTGTCCCAATTAAGTTTTTTAACATCATAAATTTATGTGCAGTGATTTGAGTTGGTAAAAGTTTCAATTTTTGTTTAGATTGTACGCATTAGACAAAAGGTTGAGGACCACTCTTTTAGATGATTTTATCATTACTAGTTCTAAATTCTGAGAACCACTCTTTTAGATGATTTTATCATAACTAGTTCTAAATTCTATCTCCTAATAATCAGTGATAATAAATGAGATTTCTTCATGAGCATGCCTTGGATTTTCAGGAAAAGTCTACTTTGTGTTCGAAATAAGATTCATAAGTTGGTTAAAATTATACGAAAATATTGCTTTTATTTTTAATTTGAACCCAAACTGCATTATGAACCAAACATTTCTCAGCTATCTCCTAATAATCAGTGATAATAAATGCGATTTCTTCATGAGCACGCCTTGGATTTTCAGGAAAAGTCTACTTTGTGTTCGAAATAAGATTCATAAGTTGGTTAAAATTATACGAAAATATTGCTTTTATTTTTAATTTGAACCCAAACTGCATTATGAACCAAACATTTCTCAGCTGCTTATTATTCATAAACTGTTACCCTAAATAAAGTTCTTTTACTTTCAATTCACATCACGGACTCTAAAACACATGTACAGGGTGCGGTAGAACCAATTCAGCAGTTTTAAGGAGCAGGCAGCTGCACTAGGTCTCCTTTTGTTCCGTTGGCATCCCCATTTTAGTACCCAACATGGTTTGGACCGGAGTACATCGTGGCTTTGCTGTTTGTGTGTTTTATGAAAACAACAGATCTGTGATTATGACACAAAGAGCTTTTCGACGACGGTCCAATATTCTGCATAATAAATGCTATTCCTACTGTAAACATAATTCAGTCCTGGATTCGGCAGTCGGAAAAAACTGGTAGCACAGTATGAATAGGTACACATGCCCAACAAAGATCCATCAGAACACCAGAATATGTGGAGCTAGTGAGAGCAGCAGTCGAAAAATTGACAAGACGTTCTGCTCGAAGGTACGCTATTGCATTAGGAGGTTTCAGACTGCAGTTTGAGGATGATTCTGCATTTAGATTTGAATTTCCATCCCTTCAAAATAATGATGGTTCAAGAACTGAACCCAGCAGACTACGGCAACTGCCAAAATCTGCGTAAGGTAATCCTTGCAGCAGTCCCTCCTGAGGCAGCATCCTTCAGGTGAGACAAGGCACCTTTTCACCTAAGCCCCCAAACTGTTAACAAAAGACTGCTACATTCTCCTAAACTAACAGTCTGGTGTGTCATATCACTATTTGGTGTTATAGGCCCATGAAGAGGGAGGCATGACCGTGAATTCCGGGCGTTATGTTTCAATGTTGTAAAATTTTCTGCAGCCGCGATTGGAAGTGGTTGTTGAAGAAGAAGGATTAGGGGACTTTTTTTTCCAACAGGATGGGGCTACAGCCCAAAGAGAAATGTTTCCTGGATGTCTAGTGTCTTTGAGAGGTGATGTGGCATGGCCTGCGCAATCGCCCGATTTAAGTATATGTGACTTTGGGGGGGGGGGATATCTTAAAGAAAAAGTGTTTAAATGTTGCCCCAAAAGCCTGTAGAGCTAAGGGAGCAGACTGTTGAAGAAGTAAATGTGATACCCTGCAAAATATATCCACGGGTTGTTGAAAACTTCAAAAATCGGCTCCAGCAATGTTTTGCAGCGAATGGACACCATCCTAAAAACATTACTTAAAAAAATTAACGAATATAAAATGGTAAGTCCGACTGATTTCAAAAATAAAAACATTTGTTTCATATATACCCTGGTTTCTTTTTTATAACTCTTCAAAAGTGCTCAATTTGTTCTGCCACACCCTGTATAAATCTAAGGAATTGGTATCTAGATAAAAGTACCTGATTTAATATAGAAATATTATGCACCCATTAAGCTTAGAACTGTATTTACAAAGCATTTATCATCTAAATTTACAAAATTATATACTTTGTTTTTCATAAACTTTGGATTACCAAGGAAGAAAAAATACAATGCAAGATCATATCTACAAAGTGATTACAAGTTTCATAATGATAAAAGTGGTTAAACTGCTCATAGTGTTAACTGTACTTTGAGTATTGTTTGTATGATAGTACTGACTTATGATTCAGATCTGACATGATATAACAAGGTAACATTTACCTTAATTCATTAAAAAAATTCATCCCAAAATTATGAGATTTCTTTGATATTAAGTTTTCTACTGTTAAAAAAACTAATAAAAAGAAATTTTCCAACTTTTTTGAAAAAAAATCTGGATATTGATTTTGATCCTAGATATATAATTTCCAGTTACATAAACTTTCTTAAAATAAGGTGCGAAATTATATAAAAAATTATTTTATTTTCACTCCTGTGATTCAAGAGGGTTCTGGCAAGGTGAAACGTTCCAAATATCTTGAAGCTATTAATTTTTCTTAAAATCATGCACATTCCTGTTTTTCCACACATTATGATCTAAAGTTTTTTTAAGAAGATTAAAACTTATAACCAAAAAAACTTTAATAAAAAATTAAATGTGCACTATTGGCATAAATAATCATGATTTTTGAAACAATAAGTTAGAGACATTAACATATTGAAAATAAAACTTACAAAGATGCCTGAAATAATTTGGCCATATAACATTTTCTTATATAGCCATTTTCTATAGAAAATCAAAACTGTGATCAAAATAAATTATGAATATTAAATCATTGACAAATACAAAGCTATTTCTAATGAAAAAAGTGTGAATGTTTAACAATAACCTGTACATTCATCCTTATAATCACACTGTAGTTTTAATTAGTTGCTAAAATGCTTTATATACAACAATTACATTAATTATGAATGGAAATTAAAACATATTAACTTGTTTGAATATTTTTTACCATTAAAATAAGAAATCTTTTAAAACAGTCAAGTAATTATATCTATGCAGGCTTTTGCAGATATGCAATATATATATATATATATTTTAAACACTTTGAAGTTACAACATTCAAAGCATATGAGAAGAATAAGGTAATCAGTTTTTTGATTTTCTGGTAATTCTTTATTCAGCTTAATATCAACATTGTCTGTTTTTGTTGGGAGGGGGGGGAGGTTACATCTTTGGAAACAGGGAAGACATTAACTTACTAGGATTCAACAAGCACACACAACCAAGGTATTAATCAAGCAGTTAAATGTGTGAAATATTTTCCATGTTTCGAACAATAAATAAAGAGTGATTTATTAGACTGATCATCAATAACTATTATTTGAGATAATACAATATTTATCCAACAGAAAAAATTACCAAAAAAAAACTGCATTTCAAGATATAAGAATTTTATCATTTTGGAGATTTATTCTAATTTCAGATATAAGCAATATACATTTCTTCTCATATGAAATAATAAAAATACAAATTATGTAAATATTCACTTTATGAATAAGAAAAAACTACATTTCTGTGTTTTACATTTAAGCATCTCAGATGTATAGCTTGAAAAATATAGATAATTGTCATAATTTAAAACTATTCAAAGTTCATCGTTCATATTATTTTTATCCTCACATGTCAATTTCATTGCATCAAAATAATATCAAATCTCAGAAGTAAACTGCGTACGTAAATTATATTTCATTTATTTTGGCAGCAAACATTTTTTAAGTTTGTAACTCCTTTATTACAGTAATACTAATCTGGAATGAAAGTTTATAACAAGGAAACAGATATAAAATAACTGCTCAAATTTTTCAATATCAATATTTTTCAAACAATACAGCACAAATTGTAGTAAATAAAATGACAATCAGTTCTATATTTAAGTTTATATATATATGTGTGTGTGTGATTTAATAAGGATATAACTTTAAAAAAAATATTAAAATGAACTTTGAAGTTCAAGTTTAGCAATCAAGTCACCATCATTCGTGGAGCAATTGACATTGACATTAATTCTTGGAAAAGCAGCTTGCAAGCATAGGGGATTGTAATTTGAGAGATCTGTAAAGAAAAGCATTAATGGAAATGAGCTTTTATAATCAAAATATAGTATATATTTTTTATTAAATTATACATTGAATGGACTATAACATTAAATAAATTTATTAATTGGCAATTGTTAGTCATGGTGTTACAATTTAATGAGGCAGATGGAAAATTCAGTACTTGAATTTGAAATATTTTAGTAACAGGATAAAAAATATTACACAAAGGAGAAAGAATTTTTTAAATCACATAACTGAGACAAAAAAAAATGTTATTTTAAATAACTTCCTTCGTATACACTTTTTCCAAAAAGTTATGGCATATCTGATATGTGTCATACAAAAATTCTAAACAAAATGCACGCCTTTTTATTACAAGTACATTAAAAACATACAAGGTATCTCCTTATAAATATCAGAGGAGTCTATACAATTTTTTCGTCAAACCATTGATCATGGGCATTAGAAATAACCATTCGCAAAATACACGTAACATTTGAAGTTGAAGGGTGTCGTATCTTTGGTTCATCTTGCACACTTTCGTGCTCATATTAAAAAGGGATGTACCACTCATACATTTATGTTCTTCAAAACAATGTATCGCTATATACCGTTCAAATCATCTCTAACATTTCGATAGCAGATTTACATAATTTATTACAAAATTTAATGTTACAACATTATTTCAAATTGATGGAAATTTTTTCTATAATGTCCTCTTAGTAAATAAAAATGAGCAGTTTTTTTTTTTTTTTTTTAAATATGTAAACGACAAAGCAACCAGTTTAAAATAATAATCTTTTAATCTCTTTAACAAGAGATGTCATTCATTGTAAACATACATTTATTCTCTCTTATTTTATCGTTTGGTCTTCAGTTTCTCTGGTTACTTTATGGAGGTGCTTTGTAGTTCAGTTTCATAGTTAAAAATGTAAATTCACTATATGATATTAATATTTCCCATATAGGCAAAGTTACAAGGTCACCAATCGCTCATGAATGCATAGAAACTACACTTTACATTATTGTGAATTACAGGTTTGCGGAGATCTTAATAACTAGACTACAGATGCAAAAAGTAAATAACATTCTATTGAAACAAATCATGGCACAGCTATAAATAACTCAAGCAGAATACAAGACATAAGACAAATTCTCCTTTGCATGTGAAAAAAGTTTCAGATGATCAAAATTACTCGCACAGTAATTAACACACACTTTAAGTAAAGAAAGTTTAACAGTTTTCTCTTCTGCGTGATTTATATTCTTAATCAAACGATGCTAAAATAATATGCTGCTTTTAAGACATTAAATAACTGTTTTAATATACACAATCTGGAAATTAAAATGAATAGTGAACACATAAAAATTGGCTTCTGCATTATTTTACATGGATAATGTAATTAAAGCAAAATGCATAAAAGCTATCTGCTTCCTTTAATATTTTTATGAATACATGGTATGTAATACTAGGTTACTATTTAACTTGAAAATATTCGTACTTAAATTAGAAGTATTTTTTAATGGATCCTGTTAATCTCTAATTTACAAATAAAATTACCTGTGTTTTATTCCTGCATCCTCTGCATTCAAATGTATTGTTTTTTAGATTAGCAATAGCAAAGAGGCCACAAAGGTTGCAAACATGAACTCTATATGGATCAGAAACTTCAAACAGACGTTCCCGAAGGAACTGAGCAGCTCCATGGGCAATCTGACAATCTCGTTCCATTTCACCGAATCGTAATCCTCCATCCCTATTTCAAAGTATATGCCAAACATGAATGAAATGTTCCTATTATGATAAAATAATGGTCAATATAATAAAAAGCATTTAATTATTTTACCTGGCTCTTCCTTCCATAGGCTGTCGTACTAATATCTGAACAGGACCTCTTGCTCTTGAATGTATTTTATCATCTACCATGTGTTTTAATCTTTGATAATAAGTAGGTCCCAAGAAAATTTGCGCATTGATTTTTCTTCCAGTATGTCCATTGTACATGACCTTAAAAAATCAAAATATATAAAGACGCATATAATTAAGAAATTAGGATATAGTTTTCAGACAGGATAGATTTAAACCACACAAAACACAATTTTACTGTGTCTAATTTACTAATGCAGAGCCTGTTGATTACACCTCATTCTCAGAACTTAATTAATCCATTCAAAAAATGGTAGAAGAATTTTTCTTACTTCACTAAAATGATTATACAGAAAAGAATGCAAGATATATACAATGGTGACCTAACTCGTAAATTAAAATTCTCGTATCTGAAATCAATTTTCCCTAATGAAACTGAAGTGCAATTAATTCATGCCAGCCCCCCAAAAATTATTCCAATTTTTTCAACATAAAAAAAATATATTTATAATGAACAAATATTGTATACAAACAAAATATAACCTAATAAGAGATAATTTAAATAAATAAACAGATACATACATATTCATTTTTTCTTTCCCTTTCTTTTTGATCAACTTTACTTTCTTCTTCAGTAGGTGTTTTCTTTTTTTGCCACACTTTCATCATTTTCATCCACAAGGCTTTTCAATAGAAACCTCTCCTATGAAATTTGTTTCTTTCTTCCTTTTAGAATGTTTCTGAAATGAGCTAGGCAAGTGTCATTAAATAGCACCACTGCACAACCAGTTGTAATCTTTTCAGGATATTTCCTTTCAAAGTCCGACTCTTTTTCTCACACTGCCGATACTTTCTTTAATCCCATTTGAAAAGAGAATCTCTTCCACTAACGCTCCTCTGCAATCTTTTGCGGAAATTTCATTTGTTGCTGTGTCTGTAATTCTTTCAAATTCCTGTATTATCAGTTCCTTAGATTATGTAATGCCAAGCTCTTTGATATTTCCCTCATCCACTTTCAGGCCCATGGACTTTCTGAAATAGTCTCCTCCAGTACTTCCTGTTCAGCTCTTAAGTCCTTCCTTAAGTCCCTTTCAGTCTCAATGTTTTCAATGCAGAGATGAAGCCCTTTGAGTAATAGCCTACCAGGCTATATTGATAATTTTGAGGCATACGTCAATGTTATAGTGCTCCTTCCAGAGTTCTAAAAGGGTGAGGTTTGTGCTCTTTGTAACCTAAAAGCAATGCTGAAACGTGTTTGTTAAAACGTTTCTTAAAACTGAAGCCTGGTCACCTGTTTTTTAAAACTACAGCCTGGTCACCTGTTGGTCCACAGGCTGTAGAACAGAAGTGGTGTTTTATAGAAGGTAGCTTCTTTAAAAAAGCTGCTTCTCTGTCAAACAAAAAAACAGCAGATTTTAGATCTTTTCATGGACAGAAATGTGTACATTTAAAATAATTTTAACACCTTAGCTGGAGTTATAATCTTTATTGAGTCCTTCTACTTCAGAATGGTACATATCACAGAACTTGTGCAATGATACTCCATTACCAGGTCTATTAGTCTTGCTCCAGTTTGTCTATTACCTCACACTTTAATTCCATGGATATCATAATTGTTTCCTTATCACTGTTTTTTACACTCATCTTCTCAGGACTCATGGCTATACGACAAAATAATTAACTAAATAACTGTATGTTAAAACACAAAAAGGCAACACAACAGAAATACTTCTGTGGCAAGATGAAATGGTGGGTGAATGTTTTGCATGTGCCAACTGGCTGTGACATCACAGAGGTTAGCTTGAATCTCAAATTTTGACTTGTAACTTACGCCAAAAACTGGACTTGGTGACCACTCATATCTAAAAAAAACTCTTAATGGCATTTTTCAAGGTATCATTCTACTACTAGAAAAATAATCTGAACAATTTCATGACATAAATGAGGTATCACAAAAATTTGACAAGTTTCTTTCCTTAAATTCAGATTTTATTCATTTACTTTCAGTTCCAGAGAGGAAAGAGAATTTACTGGGATGTAAAAGTATTTTGCAAAAACAAATTTTAATTGAAAGTGTAATATGTTTGATTATTAAAATCTTCATTATTATGAAATACATCTGCATAATAGTGAAGTTTAATGCAAAAAAGTCTGTACCTTTACGTGCAACAATAGCAGAGATATAAAAAGAGAAATTACTGATTTACTTGTCTTACTGATCAAATTACTGATTGTCTATCCCAGTTAAGCTCATCTCCACAATGTTTCTGTGCAAGATAAAAAAAAATCAATCCATTTGCAAAACAAGGAAAAATCAGCTATCCCTGAGGAGTGCACATTTCAAGAATCCCAAGTCTGGTATTTTTTACTGTCATCTGGGTTAATAGGAATCTTTTTCACAAAAATATCTCATCATTTCAGTTTTTTCAGTAATTTTTAATTTTCAGTCAAAATTTAATTTTAATTCCTGTAAATAACAGTCCAACTTAATGCATTTAACAACAGTTTAAAATTTCCTTAATTGTTTATTCTAGTAATACTGACCATAATATGTAATATTTCATGTACTTGTATAAAATACTATTAATGTAAAAGAATTTTAATTTTCTCAGGGTTCTACCCTATAGTTTTCGTCTGTGTTACTAGCATGTTATACAAACAGCCTATTTTTATTAACACTCTGAGCGGCATGACTGGCCTTTTTATAGTCATGAGATGTTTGTCACTTAGCATAATTTTAATTTTGTCGCTTGTAATTTTAGATATTTTGCTTTCTTAATTTTTTTTAATAATGCCAATTTAATGAATGCAAGTTTATGAAAATACAGAGTAAAATAAATAAACAAATTTAACTAAGGGATAAGCAGGTGGTCTCTATCATATGGTATTTCATCGGATTATTGCCTTATTTGGAGTGATTCTTATATTTATGCGTGAACCACATACAATGATATAATAATTTAAAATTGCAGTGACTATTTCTATTTTATGTTAATGGGTTAGTGTCTAATTTTTTATTTTATAAAACATTTTTAAATAAGATATTTTTCTACTAATTAGAAATACCCACAATGTCTGAAAATTGTTCCCCATAGAGAAAGAGGAGTAAATGTTTGTATATTCAGAATTTTAAACATAAATCGTTAGAAGATCTGAATTAAAATACTGGTTGAAAAAAGTTAGAAAAGAAAAAGATGCATCTTACAACATTTATTGCAAAATGAAATTTAAAAATGCCGATAAATCTTTGTTACTAGCGTACAGAAATACAATTAAAGATAAGAAGTGTAACTATTTCTAAAACAAGTTCAGCTATATTATATAGTTTTTTATGAAAAGTACACTTACGGAGGAAAAAAAAAAAAGAAAAAAGCAGATACAGAGATAGCAATTGCTGCACTCATTTCTGAGCATAATATTCCATTTGTGCAATGTGATCATCTTACAGACGTATATAGAAAAGAATTTCTAACATACGCAGAAACAAGTTTTAAATAATACATGAAAGTACACAAGTATCTACCATAAATTCTACCTGTTGATGTGACAGTTTGATATTAAAAATTTTTATGTTGTAAATGTGTTACTAAACACTATTTATGTTGAACATGATATTTCAGAAGGGTTTTATCAAGCTGTAAAAGATCTTTTCATAGAAAAAACATTCCAATATAACTTTAGAAATGATAATTTGCCATTATGGTGGGTACTAAGAGTAGGTCCAGTCACTGCTATACAAAGGATATACCATCAGCATTTAACATGGGATGTGTTTGCTATTTTTTGCATTATGTGCTAATCATTCATACAGGTACTACTAACATATCTAGAAATGTTTATAAAAATATGTAGCATCATTTTCCCCATGGTAGTAAAAGATTAGATACTACAGTCAAAAGTCGTTAATCCGGACTCATCGGGACTTCGGCGATTCCGGATTATCGATTTTTCCGGATTATAGATCATCAGTTTAAATCTCGTAAAATGGCATGAAGAAATTCTAAAACCGTAATTTATGAAATAAAGAACAATTATCATCTAAAAGGTATCAAAATTTACAAAAAAAAAAAAAAAAAGCTTAATATTTATTTGTTTACTTTATTAAACATTTCTCTCAATGTAAGTTGTTTAAGTTGCTTCATTTTATGTGATTATACTTTCTCTTTAATTCTATAAAAAGACATAATTTCTTGTTCAGTTACCAAGTTCCGCTGTTCAAGTCCCGTTAATTGCTGTGCCGAGAATACCGACTAACTTGTCAATCGAAATTTTTTCATTTTCACTAACCTCTCTGTCACATTCTTCATGTCTTTATCCATTTTTTGCAGCAATTCCACTTTTTGTTTGTTGGACATCAAAACATACTTTCGTTTTGTAGATCCTTTGGAAGTTCCAGCATCGGAAATTCTATTTGACATAATCGAAAGTTCAAGTTTACTTTTATAAAATTGCTCTTACAGTCTGCAAAAAATAATAAGCGGGATCCAATTCGAAGATTAAGGAACAACGCAATCATTAACATTAACTGAAATAGATAATTAGAAAATTTTAGCTTACACCATCCGTTATACATTAAACGCGCAGGTGAAAACTTATTCTGCACTTGCACACACGCATATGCGCAGTAGTCAAGGTCTTACGCGAACGCGTAAAACGCCTGTGCGCATGTGCAGACGCGGCGCATGCGCAGAAAGTTTTTAGCTTTGAGGTCCAGATTATAGATCATTCCGGATTATGGGTGTCCGAATTAACGACTTTTGACTGTATTAAGCATAAAATTTCCCAAATTAGCACAAACATATTGACTATTCTGTGACTAAGCTTATTTTATTCAATTACAGCAAAGCATCTTGGACTTATCTGCTTAAGAGGAGGAATGCCTTAGTGGAAAACTTTCTACAAGAAGCCGGCTCATAATCCATCTTACATATGGGGGAAAACCACAGAAATGCCGATGCAGCCCATTTTCCAGGGGTTGAACCTAATTCGAAAACTATTAGTGTTCAATGACTTTACTGCTCAGACACTGGTGGGCATCCCGTGGCAATGTAATACAAATTATTATTGAACAGTGGGATGTGTTCATTTTCTATTTTCAGTCTCAATCAAAAATGGATGGTGAAGGGAATATCTGCAACACT